AAAATCCATTTTTTCCATCAGAAAATTCTCAAATTTTCCCCCACTCACAATTCCAAAACGAAAGACGTCAACAGAAGCGCCACAGTAGAGTTGATGAGAGCTTGCGGAGCTCCCACCGCGAACGCAGCCGCCAAACATAAACATAGTATCTATAGGAGGAGTATGCACATGGTCAACTACATATGTTGAAATATGAAAATTCTGGGGGGAAATTTCGGGAAATTCTTGGTTTTTTTCTGTATCAGGTATGTTGGAAAATTCGTATAATTTGTGAGGAAAATTTTGGAGAAAGCGAACATGTCTTTATCTAACACTGAGAGAAAATATGCACATGGTCAACTACATATGTTAAAAATATGAAAATTCTGGCAGAAAATTTTGGGAAATTCTTATTGGTTTCTCTACGTTTCTACCCTAACCCTTGACTAAACTACTGTAATTAGCGAGGAAAGCAAACATATATTCCTCCAACGTCGACCTAGTGAGCCACATAATAGGATCACACACTCACCTGTATGAACCCAGATTGGACCAAAACTAGAGTAACGGTCGGGAGCTCCTCCGAATCACCAGTCTGAAATCATAGCCTATAGTTGAATAGTAACTCGCTGAGATATGGAAGTCACCATCGCCATGATGTCTCCATAGAGGTTGTATTCAGATCTCTTCCTAGCCTTACCGAGAACATCATAAGCTCTGTCGTATCTAAAATGACCATGCCGAGAATCAAACCGGCTACCTTTCGATTACGCCTCTTTCTCCCGCCGCTCGTCCGACTCAGCTGATAACTTCTTGTAGTTTTGATAGATGTCAATGTGCTGGGCGTCTCTATCCACTTGCAGCACTTGATAATAAGTAAGCGTCGTTGTCGTGAATGCATAATAATACATACCCGCGATCACAATCATTGCCAACTAACACGAATATTGATTTGCACGCATGCACACGTAAGATTCTCCAAAACTATCGACTTTATCAACCACATCATTCCTCTTCGCTATCGAAACTCAGTCCGATTACAATGAAGTTTCACCACCCTAGTGATATAAAAAACACTAGTGAAAAATATATTCCACGACTACTGATGCATATCACCGCGAATAACATCGCGTTTTTCACAGAGTATTAGGACGCCACTTCACGTTAAACGGGTTGTGAAACTCCAATCTTCTATTGATCGAGACACCAGGGCAGCAAAATTGAACGAAATACTCAAGTAGTTACTTGCAGATTCACGTATTCCAAGGGCTAACAGTGTGGAGGGAAATTTTGCACATGGACAACTACATGTGTTGATGACAATATGAAAATTCTACGAGTAAATTTTTTTTCGGTTTCTGTACACTTTTACCCCGATTTCATGCAAAAACTTATATCGAATAGCTTTGAAAACTCCCTTTCCTCAGCTGAGGAAAGCAAACATATAAAGTCCTCCAACATATTTAGTCCTCCAACACCGACAAGATCCACGATTTTTTTCAACGATTTCGAGAATCCATACATTTACTAGACATATCCGCTCGATTCATCCAGTAAACCCCAAAAATAATATATCACTAAAAATTATATCACAGAGAGCAATTTTAATGGAGTTTCACGCCCTGTTTTACGTGAAGTGGCGTAAAACTCGGTGAAAAACGCGATTTTATTCGCGGTGATGTGCAGTAGTCGTGAAATATATTTTTCACTAGTGTTTTTCATATCACTAGGCTGGTGGTGAAACTCCAAATGTTATTAAATGTTTCCCATAATCTCTGAAATTCACACATAGTTGCATTTATCTAGTTTATCTATTTTTCCAATTTTATTTTTCCCCCACCCCAAAATTACTACCATCACATTCGGGCGTCTCTCCAAGTGCAACCTCTGTCGCTGTGATTTCCTACCAGGCTGATCGAGCCCGAGGAGAATCCTGATGTAAATTCTGATTGAAAAATGAGCAATTCAAATGAGCTCACTTCACCAGAGGCACCATGCAAATGAATGGCAACAACACAGCGTCCAGCGGACAAGTAGAGATGACCATAGAAAATGTTGTGGGAGAAAAAACTAAAATGGAAAAATATGCACATGGTCGACAAACACAAAGTTCTGAGAGAATTTTCGGGAAAATTCTTGTTGGTTTTTGTACATTTCAACCCGATTGCGTACGAAAAAATGAGTAGAATTTCGGAGAATTTTCCGAAATTTCTTCGCAATTTTCATATTGTCGTCAGCACACGTACTTGAACAGAAGTATATTCGTAAATACATTAATGAAGTTGTCACCCATCGTGTTGATAATCCTCTCGAAAAATTGATCCTCTCTAGTAATCTAGTAATCCTAGTAATCCTAGTAATCTAGT